CAGTCGCCATAGCCAGTTGAAGAGAACTCATATCTGGTTACGATATCTTGAGTACTGTGTGGGCGCATGTCGCCAGTTGCTGTACCGCTGTTTGCAGGCATGACAAAGTGACAGGAAGACGAGTTTGAATTCAACCAAAACAATATTTGCAATAATGATAATGAACGAATTTTGAATTGTTATCAAGATTGGGTATCTGTTGAGATCAATTATGGTCCGGGAGTTCACCGTTAATTAGTGAACTACCCGGAAGTTGCAATGTGAGGGTCAGATTCGGATTAATTTGCCAACAAAATTTTCGGAAAAATCCGGAGAAACAAACACTCGAATTTTCAAAAACGTGAATTTTCGGGAGTTTCCACCGTCAAAATCCGATTTTTAAAGGCTTAAATGCGTTTTCGGAATTTCTCCAACAAGGGAAAAGAAAAAAAAAATTCGCGAAAATTTCTGGCCCAACCCTAATTTTCCGCGTTTCCGCGGAATTCCGGTATTACGGTTCCAAAACGCTCGGAATTCCCAAGTTGATCGAATAACCGAAAAATTTCGTAACCCTACTTTCCAATACTGAAAGAAAACAGAAATACCACAAGAAAAAAACGAAATGTAGGATTTACAACAGAATGCCGAAGTTAAAAACGGAATGCTGAATGGAAATCAGAATGCCGAATTTCAACAGGATGCTGATTCAACCCTAATAACGTTTTCAAATCAGAAATCCGAACCTAACAAATTATCGGATTAGTATCAATTAATCGGAACCTAAATAAACAGCATACCGAAATAAAACAGAAATCCGAATTACAAGTCCAAATACCGAATTGAAACGGAAATGCCGAAATAAAAAAGAAAAAAATTTGCAACTTTGAACTTGATAGTAATGCAGAGCTGATTTGGAAGATTGAAGAAGAATCTAATTCCTAATCAGACTTACCTTTGTGAGCAGATCCGTTATATGGTCTGCTCCGATACCAAAACTGTTACATACTTCAATGAGTATGGGCAGAACCAAAGATCAACCAATGTAGGATGAGCATATATGCAGCGGAAGTCTGATAAACGGACTGACTCACATAGATATCACTCCACACACATACAATCGTGAGATGGTGGGGTCTGAGCCATACTTGGACGACGCTCAGCCCTGTACACACATACACAGATGAAGGTGGGAGGAGAGACGAAGGAGGGGGGGGAGATGTAGGTAGCACCAAATGTCACCGAGATAGAAACCAGTAGGTCACCGATATGGTAATCCAAAATGTCATCGAACAAGATCAAAATGTCGAGGACAATAAGTCACCAATGTCGGAGATACAGAGTCTTAATGTAACCGGTGTCAAATCTGTGATGCAGCCGAGTATCATCCCCAACAATTTCCAAGTCTTGAATCCGGTAAGTACCACAGCCTCTTACCACCGAAGTCCAACTCTGATCTCTGTCCAACTAGTATATATAAGTCTCCAATCTGAAGAAGAAGAAGAAGAAGGAGAAGAAGAAGAAGGGAGCCGAGGAGGAGAGAGAGAGAGAGGGGACTGGCGATGGGAGGGAGGAGAGAAACCTCCGACTCCCGATACCTCAGGCGGCTATGGCCGCCGATACGCTCAGTCGCTGCTGCTGCTGCTCCGCTCGCTGCTGCTGCGCTAATGCTGCGCTGCGCTGCTCCTCGTGCTCCTGCGCTAAACATAGCGCCAGCGCTGATTCGCGCCGTACCATACCGCACCGTTAGAGTACCGGTGGGTCGATAGCCTCAATGAGGCTGGACCGGTACTTTCGTACCGGTGGGGCAGAGGCCGGCCTCAATGCTGCGAGGCCTGGCCGTGCCCTGAACCGTCAAGATGGACGGTTCAGCCCCAACCGGTGGGCGGCAGCCTCAAGAGCGCCGCCAGGCCCAAACGGTAATGTCGTTTGGGCCTGCCCGTCGGGTCTGGTCCAAGGTAAGGCCTTTACGGCCTGTAGTACCCCCAAGGTCGGGCCTTTAGGCCCTACTGTGTCCCTCTAACCCTAAGTCGGGTCCGGTAGGACCCGTGTGGCTTTAAAGATGTAACAAGCAGACTGCCTGTCCCACGCGGACTTCGGTCCCACACTCCGACAGACAGCTTCACCCTTGCTGGTAGGCTTGTCTTTCAAGGAGGGGGGGTGTGGTATGCACGACTCCCACACGGGCCCCTTTGGGGTGTGACGGTAGGTAGAGGTTCAGGCTAGGGGGCTGGGGGGTTATTCGCTCGTTTCCTTAGGGCATTTGCAATTTTCGATGGTCTATCTCTATTGATATCTCATATTATTTGTCTGTTGACTTTGTTCTATGTTCAGTATTTATCTGAACTGGGTGTAATGTTTCAGCAGTTTTGTTTGATTCAGGACGGTCTGGTCTGGATGCATCGTTTCGGTTCGTTGGTCCTGACCTGTAGTAGCTCATTGCACAATTTCTTTAGTCTGGGCCGATTCAGGCCCAGTGGACACAGTTGACGCCATGCACAGTTTGCCTGGGTAGGACCGCATTATTTAGTCCTGTGCACGTTTTGGCCAGGACCTGTTTTTTGGGCCTGCATCCTGTATCGTCGATTGGGAGTCAGATCGGACGATCCAGGACATCGGCGGAGTCAGCATCCAGTAGGTCCAGCACTATAGATAGCTGGACTGTCCTCCTGGCACCCACAGTTGGAGGTTGAGGCCACAACGCTGCTCGACAGTGCTTTTTCCTGTGATTGCGTTATTTAGGTCCAGTGCACGTTTTGGCCAGGACCATGTTTTTGGGCCTGCATCCTGGATCGTTGATCGGCGGTCTGATCGAATGATCTGGGACATGTGTGCTTACAGGAGCCAGTAGGTCCAGTGCTATAGATAGCTGGACCGTCCTCCTTCCTGGCAGCCACAATGCTGCTTGGCAGCGCTTATGCACCAATTGGACGATCCGGGACATACGTGCACACATGAGCATGGTAGAGAGACAGGAGGTTGAGAGCGGAGGTCAGATATGAGGGATCACCTCACAGCTTCAAGGCGACACCATTCTGCTGGTCAGGATCTGGCTCCTCTATTGAGAGATATTGAGAGGACTCTCTTCTCACTCCTCTGCTCCTCCATCTCTATTGCTGTTCTTCCTTGCCTCCCTCCAATTCTTCTTCTTCTTCTTCCAGGAAAGAGGTAGATAGATTATGAGAGCTGAGACTTGGTGTTATTGGGCGATCGCCCGGATTTGGACATGGTATGTGTACAGAGACATTGGGGGTTATTTTTGGAGAGTATTCCTTGGTGGCACTATTTTGAGTTGGCGTCTCCTCCATATCTTCCCCACTTTATCTCTTTTCCCCCTCTTTTGTCTGTGGATGTATGTGGGGCATGGCGGCCTTCTTCTGTGTATGTATCGCCATGACCCATACTCGTGTTGATGACGACTGAGTGTGCAGTCAATCCGGGTCGTGCTGAGTCAGATCTATATGTATCAGTCTTCCACTGCATTGCTTTTGCTCATTCCCCTTCGGTCGGTTCTTGGGTTTTTTGCCATGCCCCACTGATACTTTTGGGCATGTGACATGATGGCATTGATGGCAGATGTTCACAATGATTGCACCAACTTGGATGAGCCTACCGGTAAAGCTTCAGGGCCTGATGGGGCTACAAAAAGCGTGGAAGTCGCTTTGCCATATGTGGGCCTTTGGGGTTGAGGATCCTCTGTTCAGAGATTGCACAGAGAGAGAGAGAGAGAGAGAGAGAGAGAGAGAGAGAGAGAGAGAGAGAGAGAGAGAGAGAGAGAGAGAGAGAGGAGGCATGCCTAAGTGGTGAGAGGGAAGCAGTGGAGGAGGGCGTTTAGTGGTTCAGAGATGGGGCATACCCACCTGCTAACAAGTATACCTACCATCTTAACCCATCCACCTCTCCTCACCAGCTATTTGTTTCATCATTCCGATTCTTAACAATGATGTTAACATGGGCAGAGCCTGGGGAATTCTGTCGGTATTTTATGGCAGGATAAGAAAAACTGCAAATGGCCTGGAAGGAGATGCCCGAGCAGCAGCTTTAGAGCGTGAGTTCTGGCGGATTGTTGAGACAGAAACAGAGTCTATGGAGGTAGGTCAGCTAATCAATTATTCTCCATCTGTTTGCATGATTTTGCTCTTCCCCCTAAGTATGCGCAATCTAAGGCACGGACCACCTCCATTTGGTCACAAAAATAAATTGTGTCTGTCAATTACGGTGCCCGGCTTGGTGGCTGGGCGGCTCGCCTGGGGGGTCTCGTGCCTGTGTGAACCTGGACGTGTAAGAAGCCTGATGATTTTTACTTTTTTCCCGTCAGTGGGGTGTATCCGCGGCCAGTGGAAGAATCCCAAATCCGTACTCTTTTTTGTTTTTCAGTGTTGTTGTTGGCAGTGTAAGTGGGGTATAAAGGGGGTTCAAAGCGGCTTGAAGGGGTTTAGAACGGGGGTTGCCTTAGCTCTGTGTTTTTCTTTTGTATCTTCAATCCAACAAGGGAGTCTAACGTCTCAGTCAGGCACAGTTGTTTGCACTGCAGTGTTATGCAACTTTACGAGAATTTCTTTGAATTTCCAAGCTTTTTTTATTTTGTGCTGGGAAGGGGCTGGAACGGCAGAACCTTCACAACTGTGGTTGATGTTACTCTGGGTTCCAAGCATGTGTGACCATGTTGCCTGTGACATCTGTCTTCACAATGCCACTCAATGCAGCAACTGCAACTGTGAGAATTGGTTGCGGTGCTTCCACAGTCCACACCTGAAATGTTTGTGTCTCGTCTGTCGGGGTGGCCCCTTAGCATAGGCTATGCCTGCTCCTCAACTCATTTTTCTCTGCAACCCAACCACTAAAGGATGCTTGTGCCAGTCTCTAGGAGTCTGCTCTGCCGGTGAGGATGTGATGGTCAAAGGAGAATTTGAATGGGGAGCAACTCGTATTCGGCTGAAACCTGGGAGGAACGAAAAGCGGCCACTGGGAGTATCATGCTTCCAGGACAGGATCGTACAAGGAGCTCTTAGAATGATCTTAGAACCTATTTGTTACCCCACTTTTCCATTTGTTCACATGGCTTCAGACCGGGACGTAGTGCTGAGAACCCTATGACGTTCCTCTTTTTCCCTGCTCTTCTCCTCCCAAAACTCTCCTCCCTCCTCGCCTCTCCCCCCCCCCCGCTTTCTTTCACTCGCCCTTCGCTTCCCCTTCTTGCTCCCCTCGTGGAGAACTAGTAAACACATATGAATGAGCGTCACTGAAAAGAACAGACAAGCTGAATGGCAAATGGGGGTGTACGCATTCCACGCTCAAGTACAGAGACATGGTTGGCCTTGCCGCTCTTATAATACAACAATGTTACCGGCATTTCATGAAAACGTTGCAATCATTCGAAATATCACATGTAACTTGATAGAAGATTGTAAGCTAAGACTTTCAAATTCGGATCCAGTTAGCTGAATGGAAAAGGGGTTGTTCTGGTGACAATCTAAAACACAGAAGCACAACTACACACACCCTCACCCACCTGAGATTCGTCTAACATGTGATTCACAGTCCTTGTGTCCTGAGGATTATGAAGGCATAGCATATTCATGATATTGTTTATAACTTAATGTACGGATGATTATAGTCGACATTGCACTCATGTATGGCAACCTGAGATGTCATGTCCAATTTGTAGACGGGTTGGAACAGCGATGCCTATACAGTTGCGGTCGCCATGCCTGTGTTCCGAGCATGTAGATGCCAAGACATCTGTCTACACCGTGCCATTCAATGCAGCAACTGCAACTTCGAGAATTGGATGCAGTGCTTCCACAGTCCGCAGCCCAACCGGTCCTGTCCTGTCTGTAGGGATGGGCACTCAACTCAGAATCTCCTGCAGCCCAAACTCTGGCCGACCTCTTGTGCCATTCTAGAGTAGTCGGCTCCAGCGGTGAGTATTGAGAACCCTGTGAAGTTCATTATGCCTCTGTTTTGTTATTTGCCACTCCATTTCCCTCCTCTACCTCTTCTCCCTCCCCCTCCCCTCGCTTTCCTTAGAACTCCACCTCCTACCCTCCCATTGTGTACTAAGAGTAAATGTATACAAATGAGTATTATCGAGAGAACATACAATGTGTAAGCTGAAAATATGAAGAAATAAACAGGAGTATAGCTCCCCCTTGAGTCTGCCTCCTTTCATATGTAAGTGTGCTGTCAAGGCATATGGAGATGCATCAAGCTGGCGCTCAACCACAAATTCCACAATCAACGTGGCAAGCCTTGTACATGAGAGGCATAGTAAAAGGGGAGCTGCAAGAACAAATAAAGGGGTACCCCAAAGAAAGCGGAAGTAAACATAGTCGAAAAAGGGATTTAAGGATCTATTATGCTCCATGTTGCTTGCTAATGGTAAAACTGTTTCACTGTTGGATTGGCTCATCTCAAGTGTGCTTCATTGTCTGCAGTAGAGGCAAAGCCGCTTTGATCTACTCTCTGGGTGGAACAGGGGCTGTTGTGGGGAAAGAACTAAAACACACACACAGCCTCTGACATCTGTCTACGCCCAGCCATTCGATGCAGCAACTGTGACTGCGAGAACTGGATGCGATGCTTCCACAGTCCACAGCCGAACCGGACCTGTCTGGTCTGTAGGGGTGGCAACTTACCGTAGGCTACAGCTGCTCTCAACTCAAAATCTTATGCAACCCAAACACTGGCTGGTTTCATGTGCCATTCTAGAGTAGTCTGCTCTGATGAGTATTTAGAATCATGTGAAGTTCGTCACAAGTTCGTCACATCTCTGTCCTGTCCTGTGCACTCCAACTCCTCCTCCACCCTTTCTTCCTCTCCGGCCCCTTACTACAGAACTCCGCTTCTTACCTCTTCCCCTTTACCCTCCCCTTATGTGCTACTAGCAAACAACATACAAAGAGCATCATTAAGAGAACAGGCAAAGTATAAACTGAAGATCTGAAGTTAAATGAACAGGAGTATACCTTCCCCTTTACTCTGGCTCCTTTCATAATGCGCAAGTGGGCTGTTAAGGCACACGGGGATGTGGGAAGCTGCCGCTCAACCACAATCAATGTGGGCAGCCTTGTACGTGTGAGGCACAGTAAATGGGAAGCTGCAAGAACAAATGGAAGGGGTACCACGAGGATAACGAAAAAAATGTCGTAAAATTGCTCAAATGTTTGACTGTCTCAACTCAAGTGCTGTCATGGTCTGCAATAGGGCAAGAGCTACTTTGATTCTGAATGTACTCACCTGGGTGGAATTGGGGCTGTTGTGGGGAAAATTTAAAACACACACATCTAGGAGCCACATAGTCTGTGATAAATTAAAAAAAGGAGCAGCCACATAGTCTGTGATATCCGTCTACGCTATGCCATTCGATGCAGCATCTGTAACTGCAAGAATTGGATGCAGTGCTTCCGCAGTCCACACCCGAACCGGTCCTGTCCGGTCTGTAGGGGGGCCCACTTACGATAGGCAACGCTTGCCACTCAACTCTAAATGTCCTGCAATCCATACACTGACTAGCCTCTTGAGCCGTTCTAGAGTATTCCACTCCGGTGGTGAGTATTAACAACCCTGTGAAGCAGGGTTGCACCCCCTGACGGTCGGCGCCCCTTGATCGGTCGGATGCCGACCCGCTGACCGTTTCGCCGGTTGGCCCCGACCAATTGGCGGGGGTCAACCTACAACATTTTTGTGTGGTGGCGCCCCGCACCCCAAAGGCCCGGTTTTTGGGGTTCAGGCCGGTGCTGTGGTGGTAGGCTCTTCGGGGCACGACCTGGGAGGCTGCGGACCGTCAACGCCAGCATTGCTACGGTCGGTGCCATTCAAAAGAGTGTGGCTGCCCACATTCTTCTCATTCTCCTGTTGTGGCATTCTGGGCAGTCTTGAGTGTGGGCAGCCACATTGCCTGGGGGAGGTAAGAAAAGTCTGCGCAGGTGTGTTGGAGCAGGGAGGCATGGGCAGGGTGGAGGAGATGGAGCGGCAGCTTAGAGGTCTTCAACCGTCCATAGCCGGTCGTCTTCTTCTGCTAGGTTCCTGCGCTCCGACATTCAAGAAAGGCTGCTTCTTTCAGCCTCCTCCGGTTAGTGTTTGTCTGAGACAGATCGACAGGTGGACAGAGAAAAAAGATTCTTCAACTCGTATTTCCACCTCATATACTTCTTCTTCATTTCAAAAGTTTGTATGCCCTAATGTGTTACACACACACTACTGTGGAGAGGGAACAGCAGTCTCCCCAATGTTAAGAGGGTGGCTTGGTCTGCGGTCATCCAACCTAAGGATAAAGGGGGTGTAGGGATTTTGGACCCGGTCATCTAGGTTACAGCATTGACTATCCAATGGGTTAAAGGTTGCTGTTTCTGTCTGGTCTCCCGTGGAGAGCTCTTGCTCTTGAGCAGATTGTGCACTTGGCTCCACAAGCCCCTACAGAAATCGACCCCCTCACCTGGTTGGAGGACCAGTACTGGACTATACCGCGATGCTCTGTAAATCAAAGGGACACAGATCCGGGGGCTGTGTAACTAGTAACTAGAGATGATTTTTGGGTCAAGGTTCTTCGCGCGTGGTTTAACTTCCCCTACCGGACAAAGGTATGCCAGTCCGATGGGAGGAGGTGGCAAACCAACCACTTTTCGGGAACAAACATATCACTGACAGGTACGGAAGAGTTTATTGCAGCTCATTCCCCCGTGGAATGGTTGGGTCAAGTGAGGGGTGTTAAGAGTTCGGAATATTTGGGTTTGTGAGACAAGGAATTGGAAAATGTACCAGCAATTAGGGCCCACTCTGTGGCACTGTCATGATGTTGGAAGAAATCTGGAGGATTTGATGTTCTCTATCCCTCTAGACTTGAGGCGCATTTTGCACAAGGGGGCGCAACTGCGAGTAGGAGATTGGGTAGCAACCCCAGATGATACCGAAAAATGTGAGGAAGGTGGCGGAGGTGAGCAGGCATGACATATTGGTAAACCTTTTCCATTGTGAGTCTGACAACCGACTGACGGAGCCCCATTTTGAAACACAGAGCAGATGGAAGACAACAGATTTGTACCAAATCCGGGCGCTCCATCTTGCCCGGGAACCCCCTTGGTAAAGCTTCC